GCGGTGTGATCTCGGCTCACCGCAACTTCTGCCTCCTGGGTTCAAGTGATTCCTCTGCCTCAGCCTCCTGAGTAGCTGGGATTACAGGTGCCCGTCACCATGTCCAGCAAATTTTTTGTATTTTAGTAGAGACGGGGTTTCCCCATGTTGGCCAGGATGGTCTCAATCTCTTGACCTCGTGATCCACCCGCCTTGGCCTCCCAAAGTGCTGGGATTACAGGTGTGAGCCACCACGCCCGGCGCACACCATATTTTGCAAGATTTTTTAAGGATGTCAACTGGAGGCAGGAATTAGCAGCCTGGGCCAGGAGGAGAGGTGCTCCTTCCCTGTCCCTGCCTGCAGGAGCCGGGCCGGCTGACCCTTCATTTCTCCACAGGTGGCTCCGCTGCCAGATGGGAGTGCCCCAGTGTGCTGGATGAAGCTGGCACATGCACCATGTCATCATGTGTCTCTAGCCAGCCCAGCAGCAACCGGGCCACCCCCCAGGATGATCTGGGGGGCAGGGGCAGCAGCAGCAGCAAAAGCCAGCAGCCCTGTGCGGCCCTACGGGGCCTCTCATCCTTGAGCATCCACTTGGGCATGGAGTCCTTCATCGTGGTCACCGAGTGTGAGCCGGGCTGTGCTGTGGACCTCGGCCTGGCCCGGGATCGGCCTCTGAAGGCCGATGGCCAAGAGGCCCCCCTCGACACCTCCGGGTCCCAGGCCCGGCCCCATCTCTCTGGTCGCAAGCTGTCTCTGCAAGAGCGGTCCCAGGCTGGGCTGGCAGCCGGCGGCGACCTCGACATGAACGGACGCTGCATCTGCCCATCCTTGCCCTACTCGCCTGTCAGCTCCCCGCAGTCCTCGCCTCGGCTGCCCCGGCGGCCCACAGTGGAGTCTCACCATGTCTCCATCACGGGTATGCAGGTGCGTGAGTCGGTGGTAAGCCGGGTCCTGAGGGTCCCTGGTGCCCTTCCCTGCCCCCAGCAGGGTCTCTGTGGAAGGATGAGGTCCCCCAGAAGGATTTGAGTGCAACACTTGACCTGGGAGTTGACTCCAGAGAACCTGGGGGGCGGCTAGGGCCAAAAGGGGGCCCCACGGGGGTTGTGAATCAGCATGGGTAAGGGAAGGCAGTCAGCAAAGCGTGGGTTATGGAGCTGGTTACCAGTGTGGAGTGTGGGCCACTGGGGCTTGTTCCTTTGGGGAGACCCTGGGGAATGGCATAGAACAGCAGCTTCAGAGTCATCCCACCAGGGGGAAGGGAGCTGGGGTGTTTATACTCATGGGTGAGGGCTGTTGGGTTAGGTGTGTGTGACCCGCAGCGAGTGTGGACAGAGCAGCGGCAGGGCCAGAGGGAGCCTCCAGCAAAGAGACCGAGGTGTGGGTGAGTGGAAGGTGTGAGGGAGTGAAGTGGTCACTGAGAGCCTGGTGACCACCCGCCTGGCCGAGCGTGTGTTGGCACCAGGCACTGGGTTCGGCACTTCATTGACTATTTCCCACAGGACCCTCTACCGTGAACTCTGGGGGGCAGATTAGAACTCAGATCCCCACTGGGGTTCACAGGGCCCTGTGTGGTCTGGCCCTTCCCCACCCCTCCTGCCATTCTGTTGCCTGCTCCCTAAGCTCCCGCTGTTCCTGCCTTCTTCGCATTCCTTGGAATCCAAGCTCTTGCCCGCCTGGGGTCTTTACTCTCGCTGCTCCTTCTGCTTGGAACCACCTCCCCCCACCCCATGTCAGCTTTGTAAGGCCTGTTCCGTCTAATGTCCAAGTCTCATTTCCAGTATCACCTCCTCCAAAAGGCTTCCTGGGCCACCCTCCCTAAAGCACCCCCAGCCTCTCTCTACCCCGTGGCCCTATTTGCTTTCCTTCATGACATTCGTCAGCATCTGATGATCTGTGTGTTGGTTTCATTGTTTATTGCCTGTCTTCAGAACGTAATCTCCATAGGAATATTTCGTTCACCCCCAACCCCACTCCCATCCCCAGTGCCTAGCACAGTGCCTGTCACGTAACAGGAGCACAAAAATATTTGTTGAAGGAATGAATTAATTTAATTGGAAGAAGACTCAACATCAGGATGCCTTTCTAAAGGGGCTGATTTTTTTTTTTTTTAGATGCAGCCTCTCTCTGTCACTTAGGCTGGAGTTCAGTGGCTTGATCTTGGCTCACTGCAACCTCCGTCTTCCGGATTCAAGTAATTCTCCTGCCTCAGCCTCCCTAGTAGCTGGGACTACAGGTGTGTGCCATCACACACGGCTAATTTTTGTGTTGTTGTTTTTTTACTAGAGATGGGGTTTCGCCATGTTGGCCAGGCTGGTCTTGAACTCCTGACCTTAAGTGATCCACCTACCTTGGCCTCCCCAAGTGCTGGGATTACAGGTGTGAGCCACCGTGCCCTGCCAAAGGGACTGATTTTAAAGGGGCTATGGGGGCTACATTTTGAAGGCTAGGAAAATCTTTCATCATTGGAGATGGGGCCCTGGAGAGTTCAGAGCAGGGATAATTCACAGCGTGAGCCAAAGACAGAGCTAGGACCCATGAGCAACGGCTCCTTTTTAGCTTAGCTTCTTTCATGGCATCATGATTTTGAGATTTATCCATGTTGTGGCGTATATCCGTAGTTCCTTTTTTATTGCTGAATAAATTCCATTGTATGGATGTACCACAGTTTGTATATCCGTTCACCTGTTGAAGGACATTTGAATTGCTTCCAATTTTTTATTATTACAACTAAAGCTGTTATTAACATTTATATGCAAGTCTTTGTAAACAGATTTTCACTTCTATTGGGTAGAATGGCCTGTGGTATGGTAGGTGTTTGTTAAGAAATTGCCAAGGCCTGGTGCAATGGCTCATGCCTGTAATCCCAGATACTTGGGTGACTGACGCAGGAGGATTGCTTAAGACCAGGAGTTTGAGACCAGCCTGGGCAACATAGCAAGACACATCTCTCCAAAAAACAAAACAGGCTAGGGGTGGTGGCTCACACCTGTAATCCCAGCACTTTGGGAGGCCAAGGTGGGCAGATCACTTGAGGCCAGGAGTTGGAGACCAGCCTGGCCAACATGGTGAGACCCCGTCTCTACTAAAAATACATAAATTAGCTGGGCGTGGTGGCACGTTCCTGTAGTCCCAGCTACTTGAGAGGCTGAGGTGGCAGGATCTTTTGAACCCAAGAGTTCGAGGTTACAGTGAGCTGTGATCTTGCCATTCTACTTTAGCCTGGGAACAGAATGGTACCCTGCCTCAATACCTTAAAAAAAAAAAAGAAGAAAAGAAACTAACAAACTGTTTTCCAAAGAGAGTCCACCCTTTTACATTCCTACCAGCGGCATATAAAAATTTCATTTGCTCCCAGCACTTTGGGAGGCCGAGGCGGGCGGATCACGAGGTCAAGAGATCAAGACCATGCTCGCCATGATGAAACCCCGTCTCTACTAAAAATACAAAAATTAGCCGGGTGTGGTGGCACGCACCTGTAGTCCCAGCTACTCGGGAGGCTGAGGCGGAAGAATCGCTTGAACCCAGGAGGCGGAGGTTGCAGTGAGCCGAGATTGCACCACTGCACTCCAGCCTGGTGACAGAGCAAGACTCCGTCTCAAAAAAAAAAAAAAAAAAAAAAATTCATTTGCTCTACATTCTTCCACTACTTGGTCTGATCAATCTCCTTTTTAATTTTTTTTTTTTTTAAGACAGGATCTCATTCTGTCACCCAGGCTGGAATGCAGTGTGGTGCAATCACTGCTCACTGTAGCCTCAATTTCCCAAGCTCAATCAATCCTCCCACCTCAGCCTCCTGAGTAGCTGGGACTAAAGGTGCACGCCACCACGCCCGGCTAATTTTTGTATTTTTTTTGTAGAGACAGAGTTTCACCATATAGCACAGGCTGGTCTTGAACTCCTGGGCTCAAGCAGTCCACCTGCCTTGGCCTCCCAAAGTGCTGGGATTACAGATGTGAGCCTCCTCACCCAGCCTGATTAGTTCTCTTGAGTCTCGCCAGCCTAGTGGATATGGTTTTAATTTACGTTTACCTGATGACTAGTGATGGTGAGTGTCTTTTCCTGTGCTTATGTCCACTTGTATATTTTCTTTGGAGGAATTTCTGTTCAAATCTTCTGCCCATTTTTAAATTGGGTTGTTGGTCATCTTATTGAGCTGTAAGGGTCCTTTGTCTAATATCTGTGCTGTGAATCTGAAGTTTGAGGCTTGCCTTTTTGTTTACTTCCTTGCTTTCCTTTCTTTTCTTTCTCTTTCCCTTCCTTCCTTTCCCTTTCTCTTTCTTTTTCTCTTTCCCTTTCTCTTTCCCCTGCCCTCCCGTCCTCTCCCCTGCCTTCCCCTCCTCTGCCCTCCCCACCTCTCCTCTCTCCTTCCCTTTCCTTCTCTTCCCTTTTTTTTCTTTTTCTTTTTTGTTTTTTTGACAGAGTCTCACTTTGTTGCCAAGGCTGGAATGCAGCGGTGTGATTATAGCTCACTGCTACCTCAAACTCCTGGGCTCAGGCAGTCTTCCTGCCTTGACCTGCTAAAGTGTTGAGTTTACAGGCATGAGCCACTGTACTTGGCCGTTTTCATTTTCTTCATAGCGTATCAAAGAGCCAAAGTTTTGGCCAGGCGCAGTGGCTCATACCTATAATCCCAGCACTTTGGGAGGCCAAGGCGAGTGGATCACCTGAGGTCAGGAATTCAAAACTAGCCTGGACAACATGGTGAAACCCCATTTCTGTGATTACAGGAATGAACCACCGTGCCCAGCCTAATTTGTATATTATTAGTAGAGACGGGATTTCACCATGTTGGCCAGGCTGGTCTGGAACTCATGAACTCAAGTGATCCTCCCACCTTGGCCTCCCAAAGTGCTGGGATTATAGACATAAGTCACTGTGCCTGGCCTCTAGTTGCAAACTTAAAATTCATTTTCCATGTGTCTCTGCTTACTCTCTAGGACTGTGTGCAGCTGAATCAGTATACCCTGAAGGATGAAATTGGAAAGGTAAATATCCCCGGAGCCAGGGTGGTTTTCTGCATTCATTAGGGGCATTGAGGCACTATGGAGGGGACGGGGTAAAGCTTCGAGCAGGAGAGGCGTCTTTGGAGGCAAGGTTGGTGGAGGGGGTTTTGTCAAATTAAATATGTTTCTGCAAAAGCTCAGAAAGCTTCCAGAGAAATTTCATATTACCTTGGTGATAGTTACATTGCCATCACATTTGGGGTTTTGTTTCACCCCGAAGTACTCTGACATTTAGTTTTGCTATTTTTTTAGCCAAGGAGGGTATCATTACCATGGTCAAAAATCTGAATGCCAATAGAAAACAAGGAAATAACAGAAAGGAGAGAGGCATGCCAGGTGTAAGGCAGTGGGGAGTGGTAGTAAGGTAGTAAGGTAGTAGGGACTTGGCAAACCATTAACATATGGAAATGAGGGCTACATATAGCTAGAGCTTCCAATTTTTTCAAAAGAAACTAGGTATCTGGATTTTTTTCTTTTGAGACAGGGTTTCGCTCTGTCACTGAGGCTGGAGTGCAGTCGTGCATTCTCAGCTTCCTGCAACCTCTGCCTCCTGGGCTCAAGTGGTTTTCCTGCCTCAGCCTCCCAAGTAGTTGGGACTACAGGTGCGCACAACCACACCTGGCTAATTTTTGTATTTTTTGTAGAGACGGGGTTTTACTATGTTGCCCAGGCTGTTCTCAAACCTGACCTCAAGTGATCTGCCCCCCTTGGCCTCTCAAAGTGCTGGGATTACAGGTGTAAGCCACTGTGCCTGGAAGGAATATGGATTTTTATATCAGATATTTCTTTCTTTTTTTTTGAGACTGAGCCTCGCTATGTCACTCAGGCTGGAGTGCAGTGCCGCAATCTTGGCACACTGCAGCCTCCGCCTTCCAGGTTCAAGGACTTCTCATGCCTCAGCCTCCCAAGTAGCTGGGATTAGAGGTACCCGCCACCATGCCCGGCTAATTTTTGTATTTTTAGTAGAGACAGGGTTTTGCCATGTTGGCCAGGCTGGTCTCGAACTCCTAACCATGAGTGATTCGCCTGCCTTGGCCTCCCAAAGTGTTGGGATTACAGGTATGAGCCACTGCACCCGGACCAGATCTTTCTGTTTTTAAATGTTGGCAATTAATCTGAACTTTGTGAAAACCTGGGTTCCAACAAAGTACAGTTGTGGGACAGATTTGACCAATGGGCTGCCAGTTTGCACCCTCTGTATTAGGGTTCTCATTTTGCAGATCTTAACTTCTGGATAGTATGTCATGGGCATCTCCCTTTATCCAGGGCTCCTATGGCGTCGTCAAGTTGGCCTACAATGAAAATGACAATACCTACTATGTGAGTATCCGCATTCTCCTGCCTGCCCCCATTCTTATCCACAGAAGAGCCTCCTTTCCAGCACTCAGCTTGCTGGAAAGTTTTCATAGCTGTTGTCTCGTTTTATTCTTAGGTCATGTTTATTTCGTGCCTTAGGAAGGAAGTGGTATGCCCATTTTGCAGATGGGAAAATGGGGAGGTGAGGTGATTAGCCCAGGAGTTACTCATTCAACAGAAGGCATTTATGCCCTTCCTCTGAGCTGTCCTCTCTGCATCCTCTGTAGTACTGAGAACAAGGCAGCAGTGACAAAGATGTCTGCATGGGTGGCTTTGAGTCAGTCCAGCATAGGTTTGAACCTGACTCTACTGTGTGCCAACCATGTGCCCTTGACAAGTGCTATTTCCCCATGTGTAAAACAACCAGTCCTGCCCTCCTTTGCCCATTGCTCCAGCTCCCTTGTGTTTTGATTCGATAGCAGCAAGTCCCGAGGCTTGTGGTTTCCCACCTGGGAGAGCTGACTGTGGGCCTCAGGAACACCTCAGGGCTGGAGGCACCCCAGGAGTCTAGCCTCCCCACACCTCATGGCTGCTTGACCCCTCTGGTAATGAGGGGCTTACTCTGTTGTCCTGAGCCTGCCAGGGGGCCAGGAGCTTGGGCCAGCCTTAGAGTAGACGAACCCTCACCTCGCCTTCCTCCTCCTTCTCCTCCCTGCTTTAACCAGGACCTGGGGTCTTTTTTCCTGCAGGCAATGAAGGTGCTGTCCAAAAAGAAGCTGATCCGGCAGGCCGGCTTTCCACGTGAGTTTGGCTGGCCTTTGTTCTTAGATGCAGGTGCTGGGGCAAGACAGAGCAGAGCCCCCTGGATGGGAACTGTTGCAGAGGGTGCCCTGGGTGGGCACCCCATCCCGCTCAGGGCTCCCTACCGAAGGCAGAGCTTAACTTCTTGCTGAGGTTGTTTATTATTATTATTATTATTTTGAAACAGTGTCTCTCACTCTGTCTCCCAGGCTGGAGTGCAGTGGCACGATCTTGGCTCACTGCAACCTCTGTCTCTGGGGTTCAAACGATTCTCCTGCCTCAGCCTCCTGAGTAGCTGGGACTACAGGCACGTACCACCACGCCCAGCTAATTTTGTATTTTTCTTAGAGACAGGGTTTTACCATGTTGGCCTGGATGGTCTTGATCTCTTGACCTTGTGATCTGCCTGCCTCGGCCTCCCAAAGTGCTAGGATTATAGGGGTGAGCCACCACGCCCAGCCCCTTTATTCATTTTTTCTTAAAAATATTTATGGCTGGACACAGTGTCTCATGCCTGTAATCCCAGCACTTTGGGAGGCTGAGGCAGGTGGATCACTGGAGGCCAGAAGTTCAAGACCAGCCTGACCAACAAGGTAAAACCTCATCTCTACTACAAATACAAAAATTAACCAAGGGTAGTGGCGCATGCCTGTAGTCCCAGCTATTTGGGAGGCTGAGGCACAAGAATTGCTTGAACCTGGGAGGTGGAGTTTGCAGTGAGCCTAGATCATGCCACTGGACTGGCAGCCTGGGTGACAGGGCAAGACTCTGTCTCAAAAAATAATAAAATAAAAATATTTATTAAAGTTATATAGGTATGAAGTAAAAAAAATCCAGTAGAGGAAAACACTCTGGCAGTTCCTCAAAAAGTTAATCATGGTGTTACCATATGATTCAGTAATTTCACTCCTACTTACATATCCAAGAGAACTGAGCATATGTGTTCACACAGGAGCTTGTATGTGAATGTTCATAGCAGGTTTAGTCACAATAACTAAAAAGTGGAAACAACTCACATGTCCTCAGTGAATGAATAGAGTAGATATGTAACCAGTGGAATATTATTCAGCCATAAAAAGTAATGAAGTACCAATTCATGCTCCAACACAGAGGAGTCTTAAAGACATTATATTAAGTGAAAGAAGCCTGGCCGGGTGCAGTTGCTCACACCTGTAATCCCAGCACTTTGGGAGGCCGAGGCAGGCAGATCACCAGAGGTCAGGAGTTCGAGACCAGCCTGGCCAACATGTTGAAACCACATCTCTACTAAAAATACAAAAATTAGCCAGGTGTGGTAGTGGGTGCCTGTAACTCCCGCTACTTGGGAGGCTGAGGCAGGAGAATTGCATGAACCCGGGAGGCGGAGTTTGCAGTGAGCCGAGATCATGCCATTGTACTCCACCCTGGGCAACAAGGGCAAAACTCCATCTCAAAAAAAAAAAAAGAGGCCTAACACAAAAGGTCACATATTATGTGATTCTATTTATGTGAAATACCCAGAAGAGGCCAATCCATAGGAACAAAAGTAGATTTTTGATCGCTAGGGGCTCTGATGGACAGGGGACATGATGGGTAAATGCCAGTAGATATCAGATATATATATGTATATATCTGGGGAGGCATTGAAAGTATTCAGTTGTCAGCCAGGCACAGTGGCTCACGCCTGTAATCCCAGCACTTTGGGAGGCCGAGGTGGGTAGATCACTTGAGGTCAGGAGTTCAAGACCAACCTGACCAACACAGTGAAACATCGTCTCTACTAAAAATACAAAAATTAGCTGGGTGTGGTGGCACTCGCCTGTAGTCCCAGCTACTCGGGAGGCTGAGGCAGGAGAATCACCAGAACCCTGGAGATGGAGGCTGCAACGAGCCGAGATCGTGCCACTGCACTCCAGCCTGGGCAACAGAGTGAGATTCCCTCTCAAAAAAAAAAAAGATAAAAAAAAGCTGGGCACACGCCTATAATCCCAGCACTTTGGGAGGCTGAGGTGGGTGGATCATGAGGTCAGGAGTTCGAGACCAATGTGGCCAATATTGTGATACCCCATCCCTACTCAAAATGTAAAAATTTGCTGGGGGTGGGGGTACACACCTGTAATCCCAGCTACTTGGGTGGCTGAGGCAAAAGAATCGCTTGAATCCAGGAGGTGGAGGTTACAGTGAGCCGAGATCGTGCCACTGCATTCCAGCCTGGGTGACAGAGCGAGACTCCATCTCAAAAAAAAAAGAGGGGGTAAATTAAAAAAATTTAAATACCACGAGGCATTTGAATAATATCTACCAAAAAAAAAAAAAAGCCAAAGGACAGGAAGACACATAATGGAGGAGAGTTTCTTGCCCTCTTCCCTTCTCCGACAGGCAGCCTTGGCTTTTAGCTCTGTTAGTTGCTGGTAGCTTCTATGTGTGGTCAGATGACAGGCCTGCATGAGTGTATCGGAGGCGGCTTCCACGTAAGCTCCCTGCCTGCATTGCTGGGCAAAATGTCAGCTTGGGCCAAAAAGAGAAATTAGATCAGAACACACAAGCCCCATCCCAACTGTGGGACCCTCGTTTATCATTCGTATCCAAATGCTGTACCAGGCAGTAATCCTTGTGTCACTATTATCCATTTTTGACATCTGCTCCTGACTTCTTCCAGTGACTGTGGAGGATTTCGCTTGCTTAAACACTCCTTCTTACCTCCTGTCTTAACAAAATAGCAAACGGTGTGCTATAACAATGTACCAGAGACTGGGTGGCCTAACCCATGGACACTTATTTCTCACACTTCTGGAGGCTGCTTCGTAATTATCACCGTCTCCGGTGTGGTGCGGTGGCTCACGCCAGCCTTTGGGAGGCTGAGGTGTGTGAGTCACTTGAACCCAGGAATTGGAGACCAGCGTGGGCAATGTAGTGATACACCCTGTCTCTACCAAAAATTTAAAAATTAGCTGGGCATGGCGGTGTGTGCCTATAGTCCTAGCTACTCGGTAGGCTGAGGTGGGAGGATCACTTGAGCCTGGGAGTTCAAGGCTGGAGTGATTCTTGATTGCACCACTGAACTCCAGCCTGGGAGACAGACCCTGTCTCAAGACAAACAAACAAACATGGATAGTGCCTTCTTACTGAATCCTTACATGGCAGAGGGGCGAGGCAGCTATCTGGGGTCTCTTATAACATTCAGGAGGGCTCCACCCTCCCAACCTCCTCTCCTCCTGAAGTCCCATGTCCTGATACCATCACACTGGGGATCAGGTTTTCACGTGAGAATTCTGGAGGATCACAAACATCCTGACCACAGCACCTCCCTTTCTCCAGCAGGCTGGCCAGCTCCTCTGTGGCCACACACCCGCCGCTTCCCCTCACTGCATGGCGAGTATCTCCCCCCTCCCCATGCTGTAAGAGGAGGCTGTTCTCACCCTCCCTTTTCCTTTGAACTCAGCTTCTCTTCTTTCACATCCCTCTTCTGACACCTGCACTTTTGCCTTGCCTTTTCCAAGACCAATCACATCCCAGTTCTGTTCTGTTAATCACACTTAGAGCCTTCCCTACACAGGATGTGTGCCATCATGAGGGTTTCCACTGTGAGCCTGTACATCCTTGTGACTGTTTGCCTATTATTATTATTATTATTATTATTATTATTTTGGAGACAGAAGTTTTGCTTTTTTGCCCAGGCTAAAGTGCAGTGGCATGATCTCGGCTCACTGTAACCTCTGCCTTCTTGTTTCAAGCGATTCTCCTGCCTCAGCCTCCCGAGTACCTGGGATTACAGGTGCCCACCACCACGCCCAGCTAATATTTGTATTTTTAGTAGAGACGGGGTTTCACCATGTTGGCCAGGCTGGTCTCGAGCTCCTGACCTCATGATCCACCTGCCTCAGCCTCCCAGAGTGCTGGGATTATAGGCGTGAACCACCTCGCCTGGCCCTGTTTGTTTATTATTTACTGGAGGGTCAGGTGGTGACCTGAGTGCCTCTCCTTTCTGGCGTAACCTTTTGTTTTTCTCTCCTGATGCTTGCTTCTTCTCTTCTCCCTGGCTTCGTTTTATATCTGTGCTATTTCTTTTCTTTTCTTTTTTTTTTTTTTTTTTTTGAGGTAGAGTCTCGCTCTGTCACCCAGGTGGAGTGCAGTGGCATGCTCATGGCTCACTGCAAGCTTGACCTTCCTGGGCTCAGGTGATCCTCCCACCTCAGCTCTTGAGTAGCTGGGACCACAGGCACGTGCCACCATGCCAGGCTAATTTTTTGCAATTTTTGTAGAGTCAGGGTTTCGCTGTGTTGCCCAGGCTGGTCTTGAACTCCTGGGCTCAGGCAATCTGCCCGCCTTAGCCTTCCAAAGTGCTGGGATTATAGGCATGAGCCACAGGGCCCAGCCAGCCATCTGTGCTGTGAGTTAAGGAGATAAGAGATCACGTTGATGTCTGTTTTATGGACTACGAAAACTGAGCCCAGAGAGGGGCAGCGACTGACTCACGCTGGGGTGTTGAGGTTGCCGAGCTAGGCTACAGTTGCCGCAGCACTCCTGCCTCTCACCATGGACTGGGGCATGGACTGGGGACGTGACTGGAAGGAGGGAATTCACAGGATGGCTGAGGCCTCCGCCCTCACTCACTTGCAGCAGCAGAGGAGGCAGAGGAGGAGAAGGCTAGTTAAAGCCCCTGGCGGCAGCAGCCCCTCCAGCCCTGCGGAGACCCTCTCGATTTTGATATCCTAACTGCAGCTGCCCTCTGCAGAGGAAAGTCTCTTTGCCCTGATCCTTGGTCCGTTTCTGTCTCCTCCAGGTCGCCCCCCACCCCGAGGCACCCGGCCAGCCCCTGGAGGCTGCATCCAGCCCAGGGGCCCCATTGAGCAGGTGTACCAGGAAATTGCCATCCTCAAGAAGCTGGACCACCCCAATGTGGTGAAGCTGGTGGAGGTGAGGGTGGAGGCACCGAGGAGGGAGGGAGGCCCTGGCTTTGTTAATCCGCAAACACCCGCCTCTAGTTTCCAGGGAGAGCCCAGTCACACCAGACCTCTCGCTGCAGGGCTGAGTCGTGTTTACTGCTCCCTGAGACTAGTTATTACTCACATTTCTTTTTTTCCCCTTCTTTCTTTTGCCTGCTTCGTTTTTCTATCAGGTATTTGTTACTCTCACTTTACGGAAAAAGAAATTGAGGCTCAGAGGGATCCCTTCACCCATTTCTGTCTCTTTAAACCGGTTCTCTTTCTGCTTACACATAGGGGTAATCGTAGCGCCAAAGCAGCCACACACACGATGAAAACAAATGGCATGGCTGTGTTCCAGTACAACTTTATTTTCAAAAACAAGGCCCAGCCCAGTGGCCCACACCTGTGATCTCAGCGCTCTGGGAGGCTGAGGCGGACAGGTCATTTGAGATCAGGAGTTTGAGACAAGCCTGGCCAACATGGTGAAACCCTGTCTCAACTACAAATATGAAACAAATAATGGACAAAAAATAAATAGGCACAGGGCTGAGTTTGGCCCATAGGCTGTAGTTTGTCAGCCCCTGCTCTACATCAGCAGTTCTCATACTTTTAGGTCTCAGGATCCCTTGGTACTCCTAAAAAACCCCATCTCAACTAAAAATACAAAAAAATTAGCTGGGCATGGTGGCGGGTGCCTGTAATCCCAGCAACTTGGGAAGGCTAAGGAAGGACAATCGCTTGAACCCGGGAGGTGGAGGTTGCAGTGAGCCGAGATCATGCCATTGCACTCCACTCTGGGCGACAAGAGTGAAACTCTGTCTCAAAAAAAAAAAAAATTTTTTTTAAAGACCCCCATAGCACTTTTGCTTATATGAGTTATATTTATTAATAGCTACCACATTAGAATTTAAAACTCAGAAAATTAAATTTAAACTATTAAGTCATTTAAAAACAACAGGCTGGGCACGGTGGCTCATGCCTATAATCCCAGCACTTTGGGAGGCTGAGGTGGGTATCTTGCTCTCTGTTGCCCTATGGCATTTGGCCTTTCCACCCAACAAGACTCTTTGCCAGCCCATCTGTTTGTTCATTCATCAGATATTCCCTGGGCACCTACTGTATGCCATGCCCTGTACGGGATGCCACTGAGGAAACCAAGGTGGATGTAGCCTACTACCTGCCCTTTGGAGACAGAGAAAGTGCTATGGCTGTTCCGGGCAGGGAGACATCATTTCCTGTGGGGACAGGGGCAATGGGGAGGCTTCATGGAATTACTTGAGCCCAGATGGGATTTGAATTTTCACCCTTAAGACCCTTATCTCCTAGGAAATGGGTTGGATTCTTATTCAAGCAAGAGACATTTCTGGGGGGTGGTATTTTGCCCCCTTCCTTTTGCATCTTCCTTTCTGAGTGTTTGGATCCCTGAGGATCAGACTAAGAGGTGTTTATTTTCCAACTAGCCATTAGGATCTCACACTCTGGAGCTTTCCCTATGCTCTCCATCTTAACTGGGAAACTCGCTGCCAAGTGCAGCCCTTCTGTTGGCAAACGTAGCCACGTGGATGCTGCTTCCTTCCTGCTCATATCTGTTCTCTCTTTTTCTCCCCTGCGGTCCATTTCCTGCCTGTTCTGTGCGGCTGTGCCAAGGTCCTGGATGACCCCAATGAGGACCATCTGTACATGGGTAAGGAAGCCCTTTTCTTCTGCCATCCTCACTCAGGCAACACACTTGCCAATGCCCAGGGGTCCTCTTGAGGCAGCCCGTGGCCTGGCACCTCCCACCAAAGACAGCTTTCCCCTTTCTGGTCCAGCTGGCCCCACCGGAGGCCACACTATGGTTGGGATCAGGGGGCGGAAGGGAGTTCTTGCTGGAACTTTATCTGGATAAAGTTCTTCATTCATTTGCATATATTTGTTGTTCTGAGACAGGGTCTTGTCCAGGCTACAGTTCAATGGCGCACAGCTCACTGGAGCCTTGATCTCCCAGGCTCAAGCGATCCTCCCACCTCAGCCTCCTGAGTAGCTGGGATTACAGGCATGCACCACCATACCCAGCTAATTAAAAAAAATTTTTTTTTGAGACAGAATTTTGCTCTTTCGCCCAGGCTGGAGTGAAGTGGCGTGATCTCAGCTCCCTGCAAATTCCGCCTCCTGGGTTCAAGTGACTCTTCTGCCTTAGCTGGGATTACAGGCGTACGCCACCACACCTGGCTAATTTTTGTATTTTTAGTAGAGATGGGATTTCACCATGTTGGCCTGGCTGGTCTTGAACTCCTGACCTTGTGATCTGCCCACCTCAGCTTCCCAAAGTGCTGGGATTATAGACGTGAGCCACCTTGCCCAGCCTAATTTTAAAAATTTTTGTAGAGACAGAATCTTACTATGTTGTTCAGCCTGGTCTCAAATGCCTGGGCTCAAGAGATCCTCCTGCCTCCCAAAGCATATATTTATTGACCACCTCCTATATGGTGGGCACTGTTTTAGGTGGTACATAGAAAAAATGTAGAAAAAAATGTTTAGATTTGATTTAACATTGTATAGGAAAATCTATAACCAGCATCCCAAACTCGTGATTTCATGGATATTATCATCTAGGACAAGGCTAAAAAATTAAAAACAGTCCATTTAAAGAAAAACATTAAATAATTTATGTGGCATATAGGTATGGCCAAATGATCAACATAGTAGGCAAATCAGTGAAATTTGGGGAGATGCAGTAGAAATCACAATCTGTCAAAAGTCATTTTGTTCCAGCATGGTATTCTTAGTGTAATTCTCTCAATTGGGACCTGAGATCCAGTTCAGAATGACTTTGAGCTGTTTCTGAGGCATGCCTTTGTTCATGCGACAAATGTTACAATTTGTCAGATCTGCTCTAGGTTCATCAGGGACAACATTCAAAACCTCCTGTCCTCAGGGGGCGCACCTGAGCATGATGCACGGGTTTCGAAAGCGACACCACCATAACAAAACAAAAGCCCCAGCAGGGTATGAGGGGCTGCGAGTTTTGGGTTGCGGGATGGAGAAATACAGTGGCTCTGCAGGGACTGTCTCACCGAGGTGACATTTGGGCAGAACAGTAGGGACCAGGTGGCAGAGGGTATTTTACGACATTGTAAAGAAGTTGGGTCGGGCGCGGTGGCTCACATCTGTAAACCCAGCACTTTGGGAAGCCGAGGCGGGTGGATCACCTGAGCTCAGGAGTTTGAGACCAGCCTGGGCAGCATGGCGAAACCCCGTCTCTACTAAAAATACAAAAATTTGCTGGACGTGGTGGTGTGCATCTGTAATCTCAGCTACTTGGAGGATGAGGCACAAGACTCATTTGAACCTGAGAGGTGGAGGTTGCAGTGAGCTGAGATGGTGCCACTGCACTCCAGCCTGGGCAACAGAGTGAGACTGCCTCAAAAAAAAATTAAAAATTTGGCTTTGATTCTGAGGGCGATGGAAGCCATTGGTGGGGGTTGAGTTGAGGGATAGAATGAGTATAAGAAGAACATGGCCCAAGCCTCTAAGAGGAGTCTCCTGATCTGCTTGAGCTGGGCAGCTGCAGAGACAGTTTTTCACTACTCAAGGTGGCAGTTGCAGAAAGGAGCCATGCTAATTTGGGACATGTGATTCCAGTGGTTTTGAAAATCCTGACACAGTTATATTTTACTTTCCAGCCACAGCCGTGTGAGCCTGAGACAGACAGGGCAGTGCACAAGGCCACGTAGTAGGTGTCAGGAAGGCTCTGCAGCCACAGGCCTGACATGGAAAGAGCAGAAAACTCAGTCCAGGTGTGGTGGCTCATGCCTGTAACCCCAGCACTTTGGGAGGCTGAGTTGGGAGGATCACTTAAGGCCAGGAGTTTGAGGCTGTAGTGAGCTACGATTGTACCACTGCACTCCAGACTGGGTGACAGAGCAAGACCCTGTCTCAGTTGAAAAAAAAAAAGGGAGTGGGCTGGGCATGGTGGTTCATGCCTGTAATCCCAGCACTTTGAGAGGCTGAGGTGGAAGGATCATCTGAGGTCAGGAGTTCAAGACCAGCCTGACCAACACAGTGAAGCTCCGTCTACACTAAAAATACAAAGTTAGCCAGGTGTGGTGGCACATGCCTGTAATCCCAGCCACTTGGGACGCTGAGGCAGGAGAATCGCTTGAACCTGGGAAGTGGAGGTTGCAGTGAGTTGAGATCGTGCCATTGCACTCCAGCCTGGGCAACAGAGAAGACTCTGTCTCAAAAAAAAAAAAAATTTTTTTCAAAAAC